ATTATGGAGGTCGCTGAATACAAATCCGGTACCAGATTTTCAAAATTCAAAATGGCGGATTCAAAATGGCGGATGGAAAACGAAAAATTCAAATTTACTTGAACGAGTCTCATTACTCGGGGGGTTATGGACGTCGCTGAATACAAATCCGGTACCAGATTTTCAAAATTCAAAATGGCGGATGGAAAACGTAAAATTCAAATTTACTTGAACGAGTCTCATTATTCGGGGGGTTATGGAGGTCGCTGAATACGAATCCGGTACCAGATTTCCAAAATTCAAAATGGCGGATGGAGAAGTTAAAGATTTGCTTTTCTTTGTGAAGATTAAGACCAAGCAATCCGTCAGTTCCACGGTATTTATGGTGAGTTCAAACTCTCCGTGCCTTGATATTAGGCTTGTTTTCTATTACTGCACTGGTGAACTAGTGCAGTAAGCTAGAATGAGAAAAATATACTTGTCCTACTCTAACTTATTGCACTGGTTCACCAGTGTAGCAACAGAAAACAAGCCTATTGTGTGTGTGTGCGTGCGTGCGTGCGTGCGTGCGTGCGTGTGTGTGTGTGTGTGTGTGTGTGTGTGTGTGTGTGTGTATGCGCGTTCTTGTTGGTATATTTATTATTACACAATAAATGCTTTGAAAGATATTATTTATTCTTTATTATTTTATTATTCACTGCAAAACCACATATTATAAATACATGTAATATCTACCACGTTCAGCTTGCTCCAGGACCACGGCGAGGACGCAGTGGTGGATGGTCCCATTTTTATTTTTTATATTTTTCTTTTTAAATTTTCATCTTCGTTTTTTATAAATTTTTTACTTTTTGTGATTTTTACATTTTTATTATTAAAAAGTGAAAGTATTAAATTTACTTGTACGGAAAAATAATCCTGTCTGTTGCTGATGAAAATTATACATTTTTATAGTAAACAAGCGCATAAAAAATGATCGCGCATCTTAACAAACGATTTAAAGCTGCACCGGCCATTCCCAGTATCCAAAAATGTCACGCATTTATTCCACTTGATGGAAAAAAGTTGATGATAAAAGAATTTTCATCAGCAACTGTTAAGACTTTTCATTAAATAGAATTCAATTCCCTTCGATCTTCGTCTCACATCTCTGTCTCCTTCTCTCCATCTATACATAGCGTTCACCGAATTCACCTCACCTTCAGTTAAACCCGCGTCATGTTTACACGTTTTTCTTTCGGCGTTGCTCCACCGCGCGCACCTCTTCCCTCGGCGCGTCAGCTGACTCGACACACACAGAGTTAGTTGAAATCAGTCCGTTGCTCTCGATCGACTTCTGTTCGAGACAACGCTCCGTTATCTACTCTAAGTGTAATCGACGTTATAAGTATAATTATAATCTGAAAATAAACTCAGTGCATCTTCATCTAATCGGAGTAGTAGAAATTGAACTCATTGTGCGTGCACCGATCCTACGTAACTCTAAACAGCAACAGACAGCATTATTTTTCCGTACAAGTAAATTTAATACTTTCACTTTTTAATAATAAAAATGTAAAAATCACAAAAAGTAAAAAATTTATAAAAAACGAAGATGAAAATTTTAAAACAAAAATATAAAAAATAAAAATGGGACCATCCACTACTACGTCCTCGCCGTGGTCCTGGGGCAAGCTGAACGTGGTAGATATTACATGTATTTATAATATGTGGTTTTGCAGTGAATAATAAAATAATAAAAAATAAATAATATCTTTCAAAGCATTTATTGTGTAATAATAAATATACCAACAAGAACGCGCATACACACACACACACGCGCGCGCGCGCACACACACACGCACGCACGCACACACAATATCAAGGCACGGAGAGTTTGAACTCACCATAAATACCGTGGAACTGACGGATTGTTTGGTCTTAATCTTCACAAAGAAAAGCAAATTCTTTAACTTCTCCATCCGCCATTTTGAATTTTGAAAATCTGGTACCGGATTCGTATTCAGCGACCTCTATAACCCCCCGAATAATGAGACTCGTAAATTTGAATTTTACGTTTTCCATCCGCCATTTTGAATTTTGAAAATCTGGTACCGGATTTGTATTCAGCGACGTCCATAACCCCCCGAGTAATGAGACTCGTTCAAGTAAATTTGAATTTTACGTTTTCCATCCGCCATTTTGAATCCGCCATTTTGAATTTTGAAAATCTGGTGACGGATTCGTCATCAGCGAACCCAAATACCCCCTCAACAGGTATTGTTTTTGTAATGAAAAAATTTTACATTTTTTATCCTACGTTTTGGCCGCCATATTGGATCAGCCATTTTGGATAGTAAAAATCAGCACACGGCATTCGATAGCACTTATTTTTTTATGAATTTTAAGCCCTTACTCGTTTACTTTCGTTGAAACCAATTTTGGGTAGGCGGCCTCACCGGTTGACGGAGAATGACCCAAATATAAAAGTAATACGTTAATTGAGCTAGATCATCCATATGTATTATCTACTAATAATACTTACTGCTTTATCCGAATATTCCCAAGAGGTAATAACTTATATAGCAGGTTTTATTATTAAATATTTAAGTAAATATATTACGTGTGAAATATGCGTTACGTCTTTATCAAATAATAGCAACATAGGTCACTTAATCCGTTTAAAAGATCGAGGTTGGTTACATTATCCTTCACAAAGCGTCATAAATATTTGTAAGGAAACTGAAAAACTTATTAGATTTCGGAATAAAGAACAATATGCTATTATTTCAAATAAATATAATGTTGATTATATGGCATGTAGCGTGTTAAGTAATTTAAATATGGATAGTATATTTACAGATCTGATAACTCATTCAAATGACCAAGATATATTAACCTGTCATCGAATACAATTGATAAAAAGTATTATATTGAAATATATTAAAACGTGTTATTTTTTTATTGGAAAAACTACAGATACTACAATAAGTAAAAGACATTTTTATAATAAATTAGTTTTATTTTCAGGAAAATAAATGTATAAAGTAATATTATGTTTTCTTTTTTCCCTTTACCGTATAAGATTTTGATACATAATACATTAAAATAACGACAGATAGCAGCACTAATGGCGCCTAACAAGATGGCCGAAAACTAGATCCCCTTCCCCACTTCGGCTTCACTTACCTCACCTACAAACCAAGCTTACTCTCCGTCCTTCAAATCCATGCGTAGATCGGCCGCGCAAACCGAAGTCTCATTCGAAATATGTATACATACAGCCAAGTTAAAAACTATAAATTAAATTATAATACATATTATACATACATATGTAGAATGATCAAAGTAAAATTAGTGGTAGCAAAATCAAAGTAAAATCAACAGATACCTGTTTTAGCGTCTTCATACAGACTTTTTTGACATATAAGGTTCATACAGAGATATGTTGGAGTCACATTGCGCAAGAGCATACGCGGATATATAAAAAAGTATAACAACGTGTGACCATACGTAATATGTCTACAACTTATCCATGTTTTACTTGAGCAAATGCTCAAAATGACCCCCTTTAATCCTTTCACAAAGTACTGCTCTGTCCAAGACTGCGCTACGTACTCGACGTAAGATCTCTGGACTTATTGCACGACAAGTTCGTACAATTTTGTCCTTTAGATCCTCAGCGCTAACAGGACGCGTAGCGTATACTCGATCTTTAAGATAACCCCATAGAAAAAAATCAAGAGGTGTAAGGTCTGGTGAACGCGGTGGCTATTCTCGCGGACTGTGAAGTCCGATCCAGCGATTACCGAATTTCTTATTTAACAATGTTTTTGTTGCCTTGGCAGAATGTGCAGGATGGCCGTCCTGCTGGAACCACATGTTAATACGTGATTCCAGTGGCACATCATCTAACAAGGCAACAAGTTCATTTTTAAGAAATTCACGATATCCTTGGCCATCGACCTTCTCATTAATGAAATATGGCCCAATAATGTGGGCACCGAGGATACCCGCCCAAATGTTCACCGACCACCTGACTTGGCTATGTGCTTGTTGCATCCAGTGCGGATTCTCGGTGGCCCAATAATGTGAGTTATGGCGGTTGACGATGCCATTGTTTTTAAAAGTACATTCGTCTGAAAAAAGAATGTACTTGGAGAAATAATAATTTTCTTCACTCACATTAAGGAGCCAGCGACAATACTCCAGCCTACGAGGTTTATCATTAGCATACAGTTCTTGGGTAAGAACTACTTTATAAGGATGAAAGTGAGCCGATTTTAAAACCTTACAAACTGTTGTCTGACTAACTTGTTGAGAGCGTGCTATGGTTCGCGTACTTATTGTCCGATCGTTGACAACCATTTGCTGAATTGGCGCTCTGTTTATTTGTGGTGTTAGTCCTTTAAGAAAGTAATAAAGCAATGGAAATAATGATACAAGTATAGTATACGAATTGAAATATTAACAGAAAATAAAGAAACAATATTGGCAAATAATCTTATCACGAGACATGGTAGTGTCTCGCGCCAAGTGTAAGCGTAGCTAGTACACGCGTGCGAGACCGACCGTGTAAGTTTACGCGAGTACACGAGTTGACGGGCCCTCAGATTTTCGGATCTCAACAACGGCTGATCCGACGAACTTGAGACTGCGCTTAATCGATAGCTTGGGTACGATTTGCATAATAAAAGTGTTTTTACTTTTCTCCTACGTGCTCCAGGAGTGGAGGTATTGCAATGCAATTGCAATGCAAAGTCAGTTTTGTGAAATTTTGGATTAAGAAACATCTTTGTCGTCGTCCTCGTCGTCCTCGTCGTCGTCCTCGTCGTCGTCGTCGACCAGACCAGCGTCCTTTTCACTTTTCTGCCGCAACGTGGCATTGGCGTTGCTGTCGCGTATCTCACGTAGCGTCCATAGACATAGTATATATAGACTGCGCATTGTGGCTGCAGACATTTGCACACCTGAGAAAGAGACAACATGTGCTTTACCTCGTAGCTCTCTCTCTCTCTGTCTATCTATGGTTCCTCTACTCTTTTGTTTACCCCCGCTACTTCACTTCGACAAAGACAAAGTACGAGCGAACACCAGCTATCTCGTTCTAAAGTTGGCACATGTTTTCACGCGAGTAAAGTAGGGAACGCGCAGTCTATACAGGGTGTACCTAAACTGGCGATAAATATTTTAATGACAAGTACTTTGTAACATTTTGAGACGAAAATTCTAATACGAAAAAGTAGAGGCTATAATAGTTTTCAAATGGGAACAGTTTAAACATCTCGAATAGCAAAGCTAGAATTTCGCGCGCTCAGGGATGGCAAAATGGCCAGTGATAAAGGTGCTTTCTTAAACCACACGTCTTTGACATTAATGAAATTAGTGTAAAAATGTATGCAAGAATTTTATTAAGAAACTATTTCTGTTTATTTGCAATGAAATTTAGAAATAGTTTAAAATGTTTTTTTCAATAGTTCAAATCGATATTGATTTGTGTCAACTGTTATCAGCATATCTATTTGGTTAAATTGGTAAATCTCCACGATGAAATTTGTCGCAATTTAACCAAAT